AAATGGAGAAGGGCTCCGTGGTGGGCAGCCTGGCCAAGGACCTGGGGCTGAATGCCAGGGAGTTGGCAAAGCGCAATCTGCATGCTGTCCCCGTGACAAAACTGCAGTATTTTAGCATCAGTGCCAAAAATGGGAACCTTTGTGTGAATGAGAGGATCGACAGGGAGGAAGTCTGTGCTACGGCGCCACACTGCTTTCTCAATTTTGAGGTAATGATTGAAAATCCTTTAAAAATGTTCCATGTAACTGTAGAGATACAGGACATTAATGATAATGCCCCACAGTTCCTCAGTGATATAATATACCTGGAGATCAGTGAATCCACTTTCCCAGGCACCCGATTTCTGCTTGGGAAGGCTGAGGATCCAGATATTGGGGTGAATTCTCTCCAGGACTACCAGCTGAGCTCCAATCAGTACTTCACTCTGGATGTTAAAAAGGGTCAGGGTAGAAATAACTTTGCAGACTTGGTGCTGCAGAAACCCCTCGATCGAGAAAGTGAGCAGACCCTTCACCTGATCCTCACAGCCCTGGATGGGGGTGAGCCAAGGAAAACCGGGACTGCCCAGATCTGGATCAATGTCACTGATGCCAACGACAACCCACCTGTCTTCAGCCAGGAGGTCTACACAGTCAACCTCAGGGAAAATGCTCCTGTCGGGTCCCAGGTGCTCCAGATCGTCGCATCTGATAGAGATGATGGACCAAATGCTAAAATCAGCTATCACTTTAACAACATCCCAGCAAATGCCAAAAAGAAATTCAACCTTGATGCAATCAGTGGAACAATCACTCTGATAGAGTCACTGGATTTTGAGGAAACAAAAGAGTATACCATGACAATAGCGGGAAAAGATGGTGGTGGATTGGTGACACATTGCAAAGTTGAAATAACCATTCTTGATGAGAATGATAATGCCCCAGAAATAATGCTCGCCTCCCTAGTTAACCCAGTGTCTGAAGACACAGCCTTAGGAGCAGTGATTGCTTACATCATTGTAACCGACAAAGATACTGGGGACAATGGAAAGGTTACCTGCCACTTACATGGAGATCCACCCTTCAGAATCCTTCCCACATCTAGCAATTACTACAAGCTGCTGTCAGACGGTCCCCTGGACAGAGAACGGACTCCAGAGTACAACATTACAGTCACAGCCTCAGACGCAGGGTCCCCCCCTCTCTCCACACACAAGAGCATCACCCTTCAGGTGTCCGATGTCAACGACAATGCCCCGGCCTTTGAGAG